CAGAATGACGAGGTCGGCAGTGCATGATTCAATTAGTGATAATAGGTCGTCGCGGTTTGTTAAAACACTTCTTATATTTGTAACAACGACCGAACATGACTTGGTGTTTCTGCGTACTCGGGAAGACTGGGGTGGGCGGCGGCGTGTACACATCTCCTAAGGCTTTTTTTATTCATATATACTGTTTTGTGCAGAGTCGAAGCAAAATGTTTTGTTATCAATGACTAATCTGTTCGACCGCAGCTTGTACTGCTTTCTTTGTTGTTTCGCAAATTCAATCAGTTTTCGCCGTGCCTCGCGTACTGCTGGTGAAAAATCCTCGCTGACGGCAAAACCGGTATTTTTTAATTTGTAACACGCGCTCAAGATACTATCTTTATGCTTGGTAGAAGAAAGCTTGACAATGATAGGGCGTGTTTTATTACCGTTAAAGCGACCTAGCCTGTGCGCTCTTTCTACGAAACTAGATTGTAGCGAAAGACCCAGGTTGCGAGAGCACATGTTAAGAACCAGTTTTTCTGATCGGGCCCACGTTTCATTTTGTTTGTCAGCGTGACCATAGAACACAAGATTAGAACGTCGCATTCTATTCTCCGCGTCCTCACACCGTGGTTCCAAAGTATGAATTTGTTCTGTCATGCTTTTTAAAGATATTTTTGTGCTTTCTGCATCTTTGCGTATCTCGTGCAAACTAGACACGCATGCTTCCACATTCGCTACTCTTTTAGTCAGGGCAGTCACGGCTGATTCAGTACAAGACTGATCTTCTCTCAGTTTTTTTAGTTCGCTTAAAACTTCATTTTGCCCTTCTTTAAGGTTTCGTACAATGGCCAGGACAGATTCTAATTGGGCTTCCTGAGCCTTAGTCATTCCAGGGTCAGTCTCTACATCACCGGATAATAAGAGAAGTAATTGGTTACAACAGCCACCGGCGTAAGTAATGCTATCAATGATGAACAGATACCAATGGGTCGGGCACATGCTCAGTACTACTCCAAGTCTTCTTATTGTTTGTCTTTGTGTTAGAATGATCTCTCATTTTAAAGTCTGCGCCGAAAGAAACAAGAAATGCGGGTCTATATTGGAATAAATGGTAGTGAAGGTTGTTCCGGTGCAACTGTCGATCAAGAGAACGGCGAACTTTCACTTCACTCTGATTCCAACGCTGCTGTGGAGCGGTGTCATTGCACAAGTGTAGGTTTTCATAATATTTAGTGGCGGTTGTTTGGGCAGTTCTTAATATTAGAGTTTTGAGTTTGGTAGCTTCATAAAAGTTTGTTGGCATCGACATGTGGACTACACAATTGCAAAAGCCAGCATATCTTTAGGGTTTATAAGCTGAAACACAAGATACTTTCCTTGGGACATTCGGGAACCCCTCTACAAGTCAAACGTACATCCTGTGCTAGAACATGCCTGTACTGCATGGGATCCTGAAAATAACATTGACGAAGGTAAAATAGAAAAGGTGCAAAACCGAGCAGTTTGGTATATTTTAGGAAAACTAAAACACAAAAGAAATTTTAGCGTAACGCGCTCCAAATAAAATTTAAAATGGGATATGTTCGAGCAAAGCAAAGCGAATCTTCGTTTAAGGCTATTCCAAGCATATATCACTCAAAATCTGGTATTCCTCGTGAAAAGTTTATCTCTTCGCCGCACTATCTCTCCGCTCGTGTGGATCACATCCACAAAGTACACGACTACAGATGTAAGACCGTAGCATCTAGTGTTTTTTTTTCAGAACCAGTTGGTCAATGGAATTAATCGCCTTCGCCTAATGGGTAAATTATTTCCAATGATGCATTTTTTTCTGAATTAGAAACATATATTTAATTTTATTGATAAATGTCTTAAAAAACAAATAGATGCTACAAAAAGATGATTTGATATATTTTGCTTTGTTGGCGTTTTCTCTGTTGTTTTCAAAGCAATATTTTTTCTTTATATGCCCGATATGATTTTGATTCCTTTTTTTTTAACTGACATAAGCAATTTGTTGCTTCTCGTTTGCAATATTTATTTCTCATATATATATATATATATATATATATATATATATATATATATATATATATATATATATATATATATATATATATATATATATATATATATATTTCTCCTTATTTTAACATTTTAAACTTGGAATTTCGGAGCTTCGGAGTTCGACCTGGAAAGTGATCGAAAGTGGCTGGCAAACAAGTATCATGTTGCTCGCAGGCAGCGTCACGGTACCAACACGCATTTTTCAGAAACAAATGTGCAGTCGTATGCAGTTTGTATGACCATTTTCTAACTGATTAAAATACAAAAAAAAAACTTCTTAAATTACATTAGCTCTCAGGCTGCACGTAACGTTGTGCCCAACATTACGGAATGCTGGACAGTTGTTTTTTTATGATTCTTTCGCGTGTTTTACAGAGACAACGAAGTTGAATGTCGTGTCGTAAAATTGCAGTTGATTGGAAAATGTGTTTACCTCGCACAACGGAGCCAGAACCTTCGTTCATTCGTGCCGGTGAAGAAACATCAAGAAGGCCACGTTTGCATTGTCAACCATTTATTTAACATCCCAATCGTTTCGTACTGTATCCGGTCGTTATATACGAAACGAAAAGAAAATATGAACTAAACAAAGAACTTACGAACACCGGTGATTAACAAGGCGGTAGCCAGGTGCAAAGCGAGACTTCAACAATACGAAGACGTACTCGCACGTTACGAAGGCAAAAAACGTGCCCAATTTCTCAGTGTTGCGTTAGTGTGTGCACCTACATTTGTTATGTGCTGGCAGGACAGGGACATCCAACTCGCCTTTTGTTGTAGGTTCAAAATTGTAATGGATACACGTGCCCAAATGAGGTGCGAGAGCTCAAAACATCGCCGCCGGGGAGCGTCACGTCCGAAATGATCAACTGTGTAGCCAGTTCCACACGCACACCAAATAAGACATTTCGACTGCCAACAAGAACCGAAGCTTTCTAGGCACGCAGCACATGACCCCGTCAATACGTCAACGCAACACCGAAATCACCACCAGAAACTAAACAGGAAGAAAGCACGAAACGACTATCAGCGACACCTGAATTAACGGGGAACGTCAAAATATTAAAGCCACTATTTTGGCTGTTTAATAGAAGCGACGTCATAGACGTCGAAATAATTTTTTTTTAATTATTTAGCGGTGGACGTCGGTAGTCACTGCTCCTAAATTCATAAACCTTGGCTTACGCATTTTTGCTGATCGACGAGTTGATTTTTAAAGACATTTTAGATAACGTATATATACAGACTAAATAAGCCACCGGCTGTAGACGTGCGAGGAGAGAAAAGCTTTATCCCAACTGAAGGGTTGAACTATGATTCATTTTTATGATTTTTTAGTACCAATTGTAAATGAAACCTTTTCTGACTAGAGTATTATTTCAAAAAAGAACGCTCTGTGTCTCTTTGGCGCCTAGTCTATTTTTTTCTTACAAAATTTAATAAGCAATATGCTCTAGTATCAAAGAGGAGTCCTCGGCTATTATCAAAGGTCAACTCATTTAGCAATGCAATCAATTTTTCATTTTCCAGTGATGTGCTAACATCATGTGCTCCAAAAGGACCAGTGACTGCTCCAAACCAATATTTTGCCTGCTACAGAACCTGCTAAGACAGGCCAAATGCTGCTGAGCTCTGCAAAATGAGTAGACCCATGTTAGATTCCCTTTCATTTTATTAATGCGAAAGCTTTAAATGCCCCATGGAGCGCAGCCGGCGTTGTCTGTAACCGCGAAAAACGGCACCTAGTCCCATTGGCTGTGAGAAACGGCACATGAATGCAAGTCATCAAAAACGCGCGTTCATTAAAAAAAAAAAAAAAAAAAAAAAAGCACAACAACGCAGATGCTTCACCGCGGGAGCCGACGGGGGAGCTCAATGTCAAAGCGAACGCGCCTCTGAAATAAAACACAAAGAAAAGCACAGCAACTCAGATTCATCGTCACGGTAGGCGTGGAGCCGGCGGGGTTCGCTGCGCCTGCGCTGTGGAGGAGCGTGATGCCACCGCCGGAGCGCCGTGTGAGATTGGAAGACGTGGCGCGCTTCTTGTAGGAATGCGCTGCGTGTAGGAATGCTGTCCCATTCCTAGACGTAAGCAGTCGTAAATGTCTCTGCCGAATTTTTCATAATACTGCCTGGCCCAATCAAGGCCGTCGTAGGAGAGGGGCAATGTAACAGCATTGAAGCATTGTAACAATAAATAGAAAGGTGATTTGATATATTAAATGATGCTAACACCCAAAATACCATTGCACAGCGACGTTATTTTATAGACAATGTTTTGAGGGCTGTGGCGCGGTCTGAAAAGAAGCGAAAGAGTTTCGGTGCTTTGTGAACATCTTGTGACTCTTAGCCACGCTAAGCTGCGACAACGTCTTCTGTGGAATTTTGAAACCTTCTTAAAGAATTCGTATGACGAAATATCTAGGGTGGCGCTGGTGCCACCAGCCTATACATCTCTTCCCCCCCGCCCCCCAAACATTATATTAAAGTCACGGTATTTTGTGCATCTTCCACACCATATGTTTATTTTATAGGTTCAAGAAAAGAAACAACAGGAGAGACATTTCATAAGATACGTTCTCTCGTCAAAATGTTACGAAGTATGAAAAACGTAATTCTACATTTTAACGGAGTGTTGTTTAATCGCAGAAATTCGTACACACGGCCGCGTTCATTATCTGCCTTTCTTACTTAAACTTGACGAACAAATCACAAGCTACTGACTTAGGCATACTCTAAACAACCTAATTTTTGCGAGGACATAGTTTTAGCGAATTTTGCGACTTGAAAAATATTGCGTAATGTATATCACGAGAATATATTACCCTTTGGTAAGAGTGGCATTTATTTCCTGTGGAAAGAGAGCACTCCGAAATAAACAATCCTTCTCTTTCTCTCTCTCTCTTTCTCTAAAGGTGATATTCATACGTGTTTGTTTTTCTTTGGTACAGGGCAAAGGAAAAATGACCACTTACTGGCTCCTCGGAGAGCAAGAACCCGATGCCATTGCTTTGGGTCCTAACACAGCTGGACCACAGTCGGACGTCCGCAAAGAAACCAAGATTTGACCCCCGAGTCCTCGAAGAACTACCAAGAGCTCAAAAGCACCGCCGATAGGGTAGTGACGTGCAACACGAGAACACGTCACCCTCGCGGCGCCCAGGACCGATACCTTTCACGGTGTCCACGCAGAGGAGTTTGTCTACGTCTATCGTTGGACAGGAGAAAGGGTTCACCCAGATCGTGTTCCCGTCGAAGACCTCTCGTGTGAAAAGCATGCGCCTCCCTGCCGCGCACGATTCTTAGAAAGAAGTTGTGAAGACCCTGAACAATTTCTTACCGCTGTTCTCGAATACCCGTCTCTGAGTGATTCTTTTGTTTACGCAGAGTTGGTCACTGTATTGTAAGTGTTTTAAGAATGGTCGGTCAATCTCGTTGAACAAAAGCGGTGAATTCGTTGCTCGGTCATGTTTAACCAAATGCAGTGCCATGTGTTCTTCGGCGCGCTTCAGAGATATGGGTGCATGCCGAGCTTGCATAAATTGATATATTCAGTTGATGGTGAGAACCAGCTTGAAGAGTTTATAGTGTATAACAAATTTAACCAATTGTGAAGGGTGTTAAACTAACTTTTCTTTTCAAATTATAAATATGATATTCTTTGATAAAATGATTGGATGCGAATGCGAAACGTGTGAGAGTGAGATATTGTAGATAGCCCCATGACCTACCTTTACAAACAATTGTTTTATATTTATTTTCAACTTGATCAATCAATGTGGACTCGGAATTCGTGTATATCTTTTAAACAATACGATACACATCTTAATTGTTCAAGTTTGTTACATGTAGTCGAAAGCATACTTAATTGAATCAAATGCTGAGAAATTTTCAGCATATTTTTGTTTTTCTATTTTCCATACTTCCCTTTGCTTTAATGTTGAGTTATTTACGTCTCTCTACTTCGTTTCATCGATGTAATATCTTCAGTTCAAATGAATAGGCCCCAGTAGTTTAAGCTTTAAATTTTAATGCATCAAACTTTACACCCGCACTGCGTTCAAGCTTGCTTGTATGCGTTTCATTTGTTGAGAGCTACTGATGTCGATGCTGTTAGATTATAGTCTGTGAAATGCTTAAAAAACGCAGGGTGTGGCGAGTTCTGAATATATTATTAACGATCCGGTGAATGGACGTGTTCAGTCGCAGGGTCTTACACCGACCATGGACCAGGTTAAATACAGAATCGTGGACCAAAGGTTGAAAAAACCCCAAAGCCCATGCAGGCTTTTATCAGATATCAAGTACAGGAGTGTAGACTAGATGTATCGGAAGGACTATGCTAACAGAGTGGTTGTGGCGGGACTTGCAAAAAATGCAATTTAAAAGGCTTCACTTCTATTACGCTTTTGGATTTCTCGGGGCTGACATTTTTCATAATATGTAAGAAACGTGCGGTTATAATGTGATCATGAAACTGGTGTTTCCGTAAACGAGAGCAAGTGCGCTGGATTGGAATTATCCACCGGAGCTGATTGTTACGACACTTTACCCTATCTGTACTCCTCAGATCTTAAGTTTGGCCGGCGCATTACTACAAAATATAAAACACCTTTTTGTCGATAATATTTCAAAATGCTTAGGAAACATTGGGCAGGCTTACAAGATTCAAAATTAAAACAGCGCAAGGACACGGAAAAGAACAAGAGGGCACAGGGCGAGCAAGGCGCAGTTTTAATTTTTAATCATGAAATACCAACTGGCCATAACTTCTACGTCAGGCTTACAAGCTCTAACTAAGCGCTTTGACGATTTTTTCGGCTTTACAAACACGTGTGTATTGACCCCAAAGTGTTCTTTCGCCTTTCGCGCTGCTTTGCAAAAAAAAAAAAAAAAAAATTTCTAACGAAAGAGTTTTCATAACAAAGCCAATAATGCATGAGTTCCCGAATGAAACATGCAGGAAGCGTCTTGTTTGTTTGATGTATATGTAAGCTTAGCGACAATGAAATCGCGTACCCGACATCGGTGTTTTTGTTTTTCGCATTTTACTTTGAAAGTTTATTGGCGGGCACCAACTCCTAGCGCATAGGGGAGTGCTTTAAATGGACAATTTTCATCTTTTTTTATACGTTACGTGTTTGCGCAAGAAATAATGGGAGAAAAAAAAAAGGCCCTTAGAACTACTGCGTCTTACACCTTACTGCGTACACACCTTACTGATACCCTGGGGGTCCGGCCGAAGCGGTAACACAATATCAGTGAAACTAACCGAGATACAGATATGACTGCGACTATACAATTCAAAATTGATAATAAGAAAAAAAAAAATCCTTCGGGTCAGAAACATTTTTTTGCGACGTTTTTACTGTTTTAACACTACTTTTTATTTGAATCATAAAGACTGTAATCACTGACAGGTTGAGAAACACAGGACATGTCGACAGCGAGTCTCGCGTGTCCTATCATCGTCCAGCAGCCATTCAGGTGGCGAAATTGACGTTGAGAACGTCGAGGAAGAGAGCAAGAATCGGGAACGTCCATGTGTTTCTTGCACTGTCGGAAACTCTAAAAGTGCTGTCTTTTTTTTTTCTTTGCGTTCATATTTTTTTTTTTTTTTTTTAGTTTGACCTTCAAATGAATAAATATTTACTTTGGAGGAGTTTGTGTAAAGTGCAATACTATAACAGACGACACTGCAGGATGAACATAAGTTAATATCCAGGGTGTTTTAGCGACGACTGAAATTAATAAAGAATAAAATGACACCCCAAATTTAAAAAAAAGCTTACTTGGGGTAATGCTATATTGAGCGTAGCGGACGTCAACTTGCGAGCTAAAAGCGATAACTGGCTAATTTTTTCCAAAACCAAAAGTGACCAAATACTTTTAAGACGTTTGGATGAGCTGGTGCATTTCTACAAGAAATCACTTGTCCATCGTCGAGATATGCCATCGCTGTCTTTGGAATTCAGATAAGTAAATTGTGCTCCGCACTATTTTCTGGGATGTCTAAGCCATCAGGAAACTGAGTTACTCAAACAAGAACACAAAAGTTTGACGAAGTTCCATCGTTGAGGAGGGGTCAGTCTCCACAGCGGGCGCGGGGAGTGAGTCATCGCGAGCCTATCTGACAGCGGCGCGTGATCTAAGCGCTACATGATCGATTAAAGGGTGATGGTTCCTCAAGGGTGCAGCTTTAGGTGCTTTTCTGTCAATTTAGTTTAGGAATGGCGGATTCCAGGCATCTTGACCTCACTAATGATTAGCGCGGCGAAAATGTTTTTTTTTTTTTTCTCAACGACGTGCAGCAGGTCTTTATTTGTGCGGCCAAATAAAGCGAAAATTCGAAATGTTAGTGAGTGGAATTTCACAAAATTTTGTTTTTTATTATAGCTTCTTGGTTCCGATTATGACATGCACCGCCAGGGGCCGATATGGTTATCCAGAAAAAAATATTAGTTCACCCTAAGTGTGTTTTTCTATTATTATTTTCAGGCTTTATTTTCGCATATTTATAACTACGAAAACGTGCTCTCGGCACTGTGAGATTCAAAGCTGAACGTGCATGATGTTCAATATCGTGACTAAGAACTTCAGTTGTACAAGCGAGGCTCCATAAAAGCGATTACATTGATGGCATTCAGAGCGTACAGCATGTACTCAGCAAACTCATTTTTGCAGGGCGTCACAGAAAGTAAAATAACGTTAAAGAGACGTTTTCACGAATCAAAATATTGCGAAAACTGTGTTTTAGGGTCGGCTTTAGAAGTGCGTGCTTTGAACTCAAAAATCTTTAATTGAGGACGAAGTGCTCTTGCGCGAAAGATTCTAAATTGAAGTGCCATTAGCGCCATTTGTCATCCAAATTCTGCCTGTACCCGGCAAAAAATAAAAACAACAAAAAAAACAAGAGAAAAGCTCGAATGGTGGTGTCGAGACTTAAGTCCTTATCGAAGCATGGCCTTTATTTTCATGTTTTAGTTCTGCAAAATTGAGAATAATTAAATTCAAAAGAGGTCTCTTAAAACTCATTACGAGTGTTTTCAATATATATATATACAAAAAAGGAGGGTTGTCTCTGACTACTAAGGGCAAGCAAATGTCTCAACCACAAAAAGCAGTGGACGAGGCTCATGCATCTATTAGAAACCTTACCTATATTTGATCTTATCGAAATGACGTTCAGCGGGAAAAACTTTGAAATCTACCTCCGTTTAATTGTGTGGCGGGTTTGGCGGTGGTTTTATTGGAGAGGTCTCGGCAGTCCCCAATTACTGAAAAAAAAAAGATTCCACATGATTTCTTTTTGTTTTAAGCATGTGATGTCAAGTACTTCCGTTTCTTTTTCGTATAAATTAAGATATAAACTGCAAAAAAATTGAGATTTTTTTGTTTCTTGGTAATTAATGAAAGCGCGGAACACAATACGATGTTCGCTTATCGTGCTCGGTGAACATCTGATAGGGAGAAAACCGTCAGCACGAAGTTCGTGATGAGCCGAATAATTTTAATTCATATTGAGGTATCTACCATTAAAAGTAGAGAGAAGAAGAACAGGACAGAAAAGAGCGCCATTCACAACTGTGTTTACTGGCAGGAAAAGAAAGAGAAAGAAAAGACCGAATGATCCACCGGGGACTCGCGTTTCTACCACCGGCCCGTGAATGATAGTGGCTCATTCATCCAGGCTCGTTGGGGCCCTTCATTGTTTGTTGAGGGAATTCGTTTTCCTTGTTTGACAGCGTCATTGATTCTACACTAGAACAGTTCCTGTCCTGACAGAGAATGTGGAGTGCCTCCAACACCCTTCGGGTCAATTTGTATTTGTTTCTCCCCAAAATGTTGGTCTCGCCGAACGATGGTCTGCATGTGCAAGCCCTACAATGGATTGGAAGATTTTTCGCCCACTGTAGCCTTCAAGAAATGTGTGTTAGACTACCACCTGGTCCAAATGTCAACTTTACTAATGTTAATTCACGTTATAGCTAACGGCGTTCCGGAAAATTGTTGAAATCGCGGGTTTAAAGTCAGTAATTATTGGAGACTACGCTAGTTAAAACAAATTGAATGGTGATTACTGGCTTTTAAATATTCTCGGTTATTCTTCGCGTTTTGTCAGCTGGTTTCTAAATTGGTTTAGAAACACTAGAATCACTGTCCACAACGATGCACGTAAGAGTTCCTCCCTAATGACGGGCACCTCGTCATTATCTGGGCATTGTATAATTACTTAAGAAGTTAAAAAAAATTCA